ACTCTTTTTCAGTGCTAATGTGAAAGGAGTCTTATCAAGTATAAACGCTGTTGTGTAAAGTACCCGTACATGAATTATCTCTCATTTAAAGGTCAAATACAGCTCCATGTCTACAACCACCTAGTGACACATTTTTCCCTCTCCCATGAGTCTCGCTCCACATCTTCCCTTTTGTATTAAATATTTTTGCAGTGAGTTTTAACATAGAAACATAATTAGGTTTCCCAAATTAATCGTTTCAATTAGAATACCCTTCCCTGAAATTACTCAGCTAACTGGGGTAATAAGAAAAAACTCTGCTCTAACTAGGATGCTTCAGGAGGACTTTCCACCTGGAACAGAAGGAAGTGAAGAGCCTGATATGCCAACTCTGCTCAGTTATCCTGGTTTATGCCACAAAGTCCGAATATCTATCGCCCATCCATTCATCTGTCCATCCAACCATCTATTCAATTCAATTTAATTCAACTTTTACAGCACCAAATCACAACAGTTGCCTCAAGGCACTTTATATTGCGTTATTAGTAGTAGTATAATATTTTACAATAATACAAAGAAAACAGAGAAAACTCCAACAATCATATGACCCCCTATGAGCAAGCACTTTGGTGACACTGGGAAGGAAAAGTTTTAACTTCCAGCAGAACCAGGCTCAGGGAGGGGCGGCAATCTGCCACCACCGTTTGGGGTGAGGGGAGGAAGACAGGACAAGGACATGCTGTGGAAGAGAGCCAGAGAGTAAAAACAAGTATGATTAAATGCAGAAAGGTCTATTAACATTTGATGCGTAAAGAAGAAACACTCAGTGCATCATGGGAATCCCCCAGCAGCCTGGTGAAAGTTTTAAGCCTAATCTTAAAAGTAGAGATAGTGTCTGTCTCCTGAATCCAAACTAGAAGCTGGTTCCACAGAAGAGGGGCCTGAAAACTGAAGGCTCTCCCTCCCATTCTACTTTTAAATACTCTAGGAACAACAAGAAAGCCTGCAGTGCGAGAGCGAAGTGCTCTAATAGGGTGATATGGTACTACAAGGTCATTAAGATAAGATGGGGCCTGATTATTTAAGACCTTGTATGTGAGGAGCAGGATTTTAAATTCCAGATTTTACAGGGAGCTAATTAAGTGAAGCCAATACAGGAGAAATCTGCTCTCTCTTTCTAGTCCCTGTCAGGACTCTTGCTGCAGCATTTTGGATTAGCTGAAGGCTTTTCAGGGAAGAGCGAATAACGAATTACAGTAGTCCAGCCTAGAAGTAATAAATGCGATAAATGCATTAAGTACTTTTTCAGCATCACTCTGAGACAGGATATTCCTAATTTTAGAGATATTGCACAAATGGAAGAAAACAGTTCTACATATTTGTTTAATACGTGTATTGAAGGACATGTCCTGGTCAAAAATGACTCCAAGGTTCCTCACAGTGTTACTGGAGGCCAAGGTAATGCCATCCAGAGTAAGAATCTGGTTAGATACCATATTTCTAAGATTTGTTCAGCTGCTATGTTCAGCTTTTTGGTCTGTGGTTGCTGTTTTTATACCCTAACCAGAAAACCAGCTGGCTCTCAGACCAACTGGTGTTCTCCGTGTTTTGCTGTTTGCAGCTTCAGACACTCATACGTCTGTGTAATGAGAGCGTATGGAAGCCTGCAGGAAGCAGAAAGTTCAGAGAGGTGTGCAGGACGTTTGAAAGTAGGCCAATCCTTTCACGTGCTCCGCTCTGAAAGCTCATTCACAGACTGTAGACCTGTGATAAAGATTAAATCCACAAAGTTCCAGAAAGCTTAGTGTTTCCGAACAGGAACAACCTCTGCAGCATCCATTTCCACAGAATAAAAACTGTTTATTCTGCTTTCAGCAGGCTTCCAGAACACAATTATTGTTTTATAAATCAGGAGATTAATGAAGGTGTTTCTGTGGATCTTTTAAAGATTTCTTCCTTTGAATGGACAGTCTGAAAGCACACGTGCTCGCCCTTTGTGTGTCTTTGCCCTCTGACCTCTGGTTTCTTATAGGGATCGTCTGCGCACTACCACCAATGTCCTGGGCGACTCGATTGGCGCTGGCATTGTCGAGTTCCTGTCCCGACACGAGCTCCGCAGCAAAGATGTGGAGATGGGAAACTCAGTGCTGGAGGAGAAGGAGAGAAAGAAACCTTACAAACTCATCTCCCAGGACAGCGACTTCGAGAATGACAAACGCGGCCACAGCGAATCCAACATGTAGCTCTGAGGTCGGCAGGTGCGCATGTAGGGTTCCCGACTCCCAGAGCGGGGACCGGATCTACTGTCATGACTTCACATCGTGGCTTTGTTAACATTCCTTTACTGGTCCATCCCAGAGGCCAAAACCACATCATCCATCAGTGTGTCACATAGTTAGCTAGTGTCCGACTTGTGTTTGCTGCTCTAATTACAGGCTGGGCGTCGGCCATATAAAAGGACCCCCAATAAAAGGAAGTGGGGACAAAGCTCATCTGTTAAACTGAAAAATATAATCACACTCTGTGGTTTCAGTCACAGACTGTATAAAAAGATAGAAACAGTCATCACTAGTTTGACTCTAGACCTTCATTAATCTCACGATTTATTAAACACGACTCGGTAATAAACCATTCACTGAGGTCAAAGGTGAAGGGAGGAGGAGGGGCATATCAATACATACATCTGTGAAACAAGAGTTGCTCCCTGTTGGTTGTTACCAAGAATGAAGTTCCAATCTTTTACATATAGTCGGTGATTTTGACCTAATTTAAAATCCTAAAAGAGTTGCTTTATCTTCCTGACTTTAGCATACTGATATTGTGATTATTATTATTATTTTATAGCTTAGTGATACCGCCTCATGCACACACCTAAACCTTTGCACTCTGTGTGTGAGTCAGCAAGACTCACTGAGGTTTTTATAAAGTGCTAATGTACGTTAGACATGAAACATAAACGTGTTAACGTTAATGATTTCATCATAAAGCTGTAAATTGGTGTTTTGTTTATTCTGACTTCAGTGAAATAAACAGAGCAAATCACTTCCTGTCTGTGTCCTTTCATCTGAAATATGGAACATGAAGTAATAAAATCTGTGTGGTATGAAATACAAAGGCTGCTTTGTTTGCATGCGTGTCAAATGAAGTGTGTCATGCACATTGAGGGTTTTGGAACAATTTGCAAACCGGAGACACAAACTGACGATCATGAGGAAGCTCGTAACTAATCAGGACGAGCAGCCGGCAGCTATAACAACTATAAAAACATCTCACAAACCTTCATCTGTGGCATATTTTTGGCTTTCTGCTAAATGCTTCTTAACTGCTGCTGGGTGTGTTGTGTGGCCCTCGTTACACCGACTCTCATTATCATTAGAATAAAGCACTGTATGAATAAATATTTAAAAAATTTGGCCTGAGGAAGTATATAAACCCTCTCCTCGTTCCTGCTGCTCTCTGACTCTGATTGGTCACTTTCAAAATAAACTTCCTGTTTCCCCCTGCTGGCCATCAGAGAGGATGCAGGATCTGATTAAACTCCTGGATTAAAGCTCCGTCCATATTTCAGAAGATAAGTCTGCAGTCCTTCAGTCACCGGCTCGAGTCTCGTAATTTGATTTGATATACCTTTATTAGTCCCACAAGGGTAAATTTCCTAATTTCATAAGGTTGCCGACCTATTGCATGCAATGGCGGCGCCATCTTACCCTCCGACCATACATACATTACACAAAAAATCACATGGGGAAGACAGGTCAGAGAGGTATAACAATGGAAAATGCACCACATGAGGAAAGATAAGGAGAAAAAATAACTCCCCCCAGACTGAGCTCCAACAGGGAGATCAGTTTGAGAACAGAAAAAAACACCTCTGCACATAACACATGAAAAAAATACACCAAAGAAACACATGAGAAGCAACAGGGGTGGGTAAAGGGTGAGACAGTCGATTTAGACAGTACATCCGGGCCTGCGTGCGCTGGTCTCCTTGATCCACCATCAGCATCGGAAAGGAATAAGCGTGGAAGGCGTTTGGAAAGGGAGGGGGGATGAACAGTCTTCCACCCAACCCAGGTGGCCTTGCATGGAATGGGGGGAACAGTCTAAACACAGTCGTCATCAGGGTGTTTTTTTGATCGGCTCCAGCCGACAGGGTCTCCACATGAAGTGATGGTGCTTTTTACTTTAGTGCGAACAACTCATATGAATTTCAAAGCTGTAATAATAATAAATCCAAACTAAGAGGGATGTTTCCCACTGGAGCTGCTGAGTGTGGGCCTAAAGCCTGTATACAGAAGATGAACTGACCTCCCCTGACCCACTCTCCCTAATGTCCAGCAGGAAGCAACTCCTCTGAAATTAATGAGGTAATGAGAGTCCTGCTCAGCTAACCTATGACCTCAGTAAGCTGTTTCTGGACTCAGTTGCTGATTAAAGCCTGAAAAAAAACAGGACGTTTCTTTTGAAAGCAGATCCCACCTGTGTCAGAGATGAACAGGAAGTGCGGGTAGGATTTGGGGTGGGGCAACCTGTGACTTACAGGTTTGGTCTGTAGCCATTCGTATACCTGTTTCCTGTGCTTCAACACACTGCAGCACGTCCACGCACAGAGCCCGGCCACTGCTCTGTCTCTGTTTTATTTACTCAGTCACAAATACAGACTAAAAGTTAGTTTTGCAGCTGTTTACATTCATCTTGGACTGCAACTAGCCACCATCATACTCTGAGTTTGACAGGGTGTTGCACTGTGAACTCTGGGTCCAAACTGGAAATGTGCAATAATAACAATCTTAATAATTGTGAAACTTTAAAGACGTGAGCTTGTGTTCAGCACTCCGTTCATATATGATCTCATGATGTTCAGCTTCGTCTTTCATAACTCTGACTCCGGGTCATCGTGTGTGTGTGTGTGTGGGGGGGGGGGATCACGCGCCTCAGTGAATGAACTCTTTCAAGGTGCAGACAGATGAAGCCGAGAGGTGGCGCCAGAGTGCCGCCGGACTGAAGCCATATAAGCCCAGGAGAAGAAGAATCATCATCACCACAATGTCTTCCGCGGAGTCTGCGAGTCTGGGCCGAGCGTTGTGCATCATCACCGGGGCCTCCAGGGGCTTCGGCCGGGCAGTGTCCCGGGAGCTGTCACGGCTGGTGACGCCGGGCTCCGGACTCGTGCTGGCGGCTCGCTCCGGTGAGGACCTCCATGATGTGCAGGCAGAGCTGGCCGCCTCAGAGGCGGGCCGAGCCGGGCTCAGGGTGGAGAGCGTAGTGGCTGACGTGGGTCGGACGGAGGGGCTGGAGGCAATTATCAGAGCCGCGAAAGACGCGCTTATCGAGCAGATGGATCACGTGATGCTGGTCAACAACGCAGGTGAGGACGGGCTGCGTGGAGTCACGTGTGTTTAGTGTGTGTTTGGCAGAAAGTCATCATCATTATTATTATTATTATTATTATTATTACACGGCTGTGCTGCTAAGTGATGTCTGAAGAGGAGGCACCTGTAACGCCCTCACTTCGTCCAATCAGATGCGCAGCCTGTCTCGCTGCCTGTGGTAAATTAGCTCAGTGACTTGGAAGAAAAACAAAATCAGTTTTGTAAATTAAATGTTTGTTTTTGGAAGTGAAGTTATGTGGTCTGCGGCAGGGCTGTGCAGAGAGGTTTAAAGGGGCACATTGAACCAGGCTGCATAACAACAACACACATTCATCAAGAATCTAATATGGGCAACAAGGCAAAGCAAACGTAGCCGATGCTTTACCTGATGGGTACAATGTTGCTGTTGAGAGGTTGCTGCTGATAGTGCTGGAGGGCAGGGCTGTGTTGATCTGAGACTGTAGACATTAAAAAGTCCATAGGAGAGATGGTAGCTGATTAAACAAGTGTCATGAGATAATAACAAATGCAAAGATTGGTGACAGCGCTTGGAACCATAAGGCAACAAAAACTGTGAGAAATAATTTAGGCTCTGCCTGTGATTCACTCTTTGCTTCTCTTCTTCCTTCCATCCCATCATTTCATATATCACTCTCCACTTGCTGTCTATCTGAGAACAAGGCACAACTTGCTATTGCAATAAACTATAATCTAATTATCCACACCTAACAACTCTTGCACTTAATCTATAATAAAATGATGACAGAAAAATGTTATAGCACTGCCTTTAGTAGCCTCCTGCTGTTTCCTCCTCATGTCCTTACCAGGCATGTCTGGACAATGTTATATCATGAGTAATTTTTTTTTTTAATCCATCTAAATAAAACACACACATGCACGCACACACAGGGACATTTTAGACCTTCTTCAGAATACTGTATATACTACGGGCATCACTGTGCTGATCCAGAATCTTTTTTTATTATTATTTATTACTAGAGCTACAATAATAAAGCAATGAGGAGGGGGAAGTAATAAATATGAAATAATGTATTGATGATGATTCCATTTGTTTCACTATCCACTCTGTGCAGGGCAAAGCTTATTACATTTTTAAACTGTAGAGATACAATCATTTTACTGCTGTAAAATCCAAATTTTGTCTTATTTAAAATATAAATCTTATATAATCTGCTTCTTAATGTATGTTCTTTAAAATACAGCGTGTGTTTTTTAATATATTATAATTATAATAATTATTATGTGGACTAGGGCTGCCACGATTAGTCGACTAGTCACGATTATGTCTACTATCAAAATCGTCGACGACTGATTTAATAGTCGACGCGTCGTTTGAAGCTTTGTAAGATCACAAAAGACGCAGGAATATGTAGCAGGATTTAAGAGTGTAATAACGGATTGAAACAGAAGATGGCAGCACTGCATGTACAAGGATGCCAGCTGCCGTTAAACCCCGAAGAAGATCAACAACTGACAAATGATTGTGTGCGCTGTGTACAGAGCAGAGCAGAAATAAACCGGCTGCTGGAGGAGAACAGAAAGCTTAAATCAAAGTTGGACAAGACAGAGCTGAATGAAAACTTTTTAAAGGGTGACACGGAAAAAGTGAAATATTACACCGGTTTTACTTGTTTTGCTATTTTTATGTCCGTGCTCGAGAATGTAAAAGTTTTCCTACCAGCATCAAAGAAACTGTCACATTTCCAAATGCTTTTACTCACACTTATGCGACTTAGACTTGATCTTCCTGTTCAGCATCTTAGTTATCTGTTCAATGTCTCCCACAAAACTCTTTCTTCTGTCTTTTCTGATACAATTGACGTGTTGTATGCCCGCTTTGGAATACTTGTACACTGGCCAGAGAGGCACTGTTTGCAAGCAACAATGCCTCCACAATTTACGGAAACTTTTGGAAATCGTGTAGCCATCATTGTAGACTGTTTTGAAATTCGTACAGAACGACCATCTAATTTAAAGGCTCGTGCTCAAACGTACTCACACTACAAGGGTACACACACCATGAAATATCTGATCGGGATTACTCCACAAGGTGCAATTTCATTCATTTCTAAGGGGTGGGGGGGCCGTGCATCAGATAAACACATCACAAAGCAATGTGGCATACTTAACAAGCTGTTACCAGGGGATGTAGTTTTGGCTGACAGAGGCTTTGACATCAGAGATGCGGTGGGAATGATGTGTGCGGAGGTAAAGATCCCAGCATTTACAAGGGGCTTCTGTCAACTAGATGCCAAGGACATAGAAAATACACGAGCCATTGCACACCTAAGAATCCATGTTGAACGAGTAATTGGCAGTTTGCGCAACAAATTCAAAATGCTACATACTACCATGCCCATCCGTTCTCTTCTTCCATGTGAGGGTGAAGACGTTACATTCCTTGATAAAATTGTGAGGGTGTGTTGTGTTTTGGTTAACATGTGCCCCAGTGTGGTAGTGAAACCAGGCACAATTGAGACTTGTACTTGTTAATTAATAATTGTTTAAAAAAGGAAAACCTTTTTAGTTTTTTGTATGCGTGACTGTATGAACACATTGACATTGCGTTATGTAACCATTTCTGTACCTGCATACTATAAGCGAAAGTTTATCATCACTTTGAACTCTTTGTTTCACTAAAATTACGTTATAATAAAAGCAAGATAACAAATAACTGCTTTGCACTCTTTATTTCACACTTTGACAATTGGTACATGGTAAGTGCTGCACGTTTGAAATCAAGTTATACATATTTCAATGCACTTCTGACAAAAAACTAGACACCAGAAGAAAAAACGTTGTGACCACTCGGGGCTGCATTTCGCTTAGAGAAATGTTTTCCTACAGGTTCAGGAAGGCACACCTTCTGAAAGAACTCCTGAGCTTTCTTTAAATGTGATTCCCAGAAGTGCACATCTGGGAAGATGCGTAAAATTGCCATGTCTTTTTGTGTCCATACCACGAGGTCACAGTGCTTTGCGTTGGCCACAAAGACCTGTGTTTGCACTTGTGAGTAGAAGCGATGTGTCTTCTTCAAGTTAAGTCCTTTTGCTGTCAACTCGAGGCAGAAGTCTTTGTCATGTGCATTCAACGCTTGCTGAATGCTGTCACATCGATATTTAAATGGACATTTAATTTCTAGGCACCCCTTCCCACAGCATTCACACGTGGTTAGTCCATCAGGAGATGCTCCTACTTCAGGAAAAGCCATGTTAACAAGAAAACCACACATACGGACCTGTAGGTTTTTGTGACATGCTGACATTGTCTGGGTGTAGGCATGTCGAGCATCCTGTTCATGCTCCAGTCCCCAAGTTGTTTGCACATTACAGACAGAGTTAACAGGGTAGCAAACACGATTAACCACAGTAATGGCGGGTTTTTCTACAGTGGTGGCAAACACAGCGTGCATCATTGAAGCTGTGATCCTCCCAGCACGCCAAGCATACCATTCTGGGCTCTTGTGTTGCAGTCTTGTGCGTACCTCAATAGCTTCTGCCTGTTCTTCAGTAACTTTTGCTGCGTTTATGTACTTTACGCAGTGCAGTTGTAGCTCTGTAAGGCCAAGGGACTGTGCACCTGTGTTGTACAAACACGCCAGAGACAGTGGTAGTGTGGATGACTGTACAGTGTGTGATGTGTAGTATTTCTCCAATCCAGACAAACACACTGCTTTATTGTGTTTTTGAAGTGTGTCTAACACTGGTGACAACTCCTCAAACGTAGCAGAAGGAATCTTTCTTTTTGAACGACGGCTTCTTCTGCCTTTCACCACAGACGGTCCGTTTATATTTTCATCAAGAGTCTTTTTTTGTGCTGCTGAAGATGTAAAGTCAATGTTATGGCCAACCTCTGGCTGTATCTTGGTTGTGTTCCCCGGCAAAACCCAGTAAGCTGGTTCATCTGTGACTGTCTTTGTGCCACGTATCCTCACTGTTGCCTCCACTTTAAACAGAAGTGCAGCGACATGGGTGCAGGTCTCAGCCACTCCGGCCATACAGGTGCAGTGTGCAGTTTCGACCTTCCCTGTGGTGCTTACAATTACCCATGGTCGTAATGCAGGTTCATTCAATCTTTGGGAGTGCAGTACCTGTAACATGCAAGGACAAGGTTGATGTAAAGACAATAAATGAAATGAGACAGGGAGGACACTGATTGGCGTTAATAATTTGCCCGATTATCAATGTGTTAATTTGCATCTACTATACAATTATGGGCACATAATATGATAACGATATTTTAGCAGTTCAATGATAGAGGTATAACATTAATTATGGTGGGGGGTGGAAAATGGCTATGTCACTCGATGCACTCCAGCTGACTTACCTTTGTATGAATGACGACGTACTCAGATTTTGGCGGCTTGAAAATAGCCAAATCTTGCACCCAGCCATTTTTAAATTGGATGTGCGCCTCCAGTGACTTGTAATTACGAAACTGGTTCGCAGTGTAAGCACTTACTCCACAAACAAGATAGGTGAAGATATCGGGGTAGGACAGTGGCGGTAAGTCGTCTGGGTCTTTACTCCACTGCCGTATGTCGTATGGGTCCAGATTTGCGATGCACTCTATTTTTTTCAAATACCGCTGCTTCGCCTCTGGACGCAATCGATCTCTATACCATCCGTTTTCTTTCGAGCTGCTTTTAAGCATGTTTCTTGTCGTAGTCGCCGTTCCAATACAGTGTGTTTGTTTGGATCGTAGACCCCTAAAATGGAGCTGCGCTCCCACAATGCATTGCGGCGTGACGTCAACTCCAAAGCCCTATATTTGAAAAATTGTTCTTTATCGTATTTACAAGGACTATTGGGATATTCTGTGAAACCTTTTTATAGAACTCGAACGAGCAACTCATGTCATATTTCTCATTAAGCCTGTTTAATTCAAGTATATGTCCATTTCCATCCATTATGTGTCACAGACCAAATTTATTTTGTCATCCATTCTTCCACAAACATAGATTTCCCCCGATTCAATATCACCCTATTATTCCACAATGTAACGTTGTGGGGACTAAAGTTATTTTTAAACATTAATTTCCAATTTAACAAAACTTGTTGATGAAATTTGGAAAGTTTTATGGGTAGTTTAGAAATTTCAAAATCACATACTAAAAGGAATTGGATCCCCCCAACTTTGTTGAAAATAAGAGATGGTATCAAGAACCAGATCTCGTTATTATTTTTTAAGAAAGATCGGAGCCAATTAATCTTTAAAATGCCATTCATTATTTCAAAATTGATTGCTTTTAAACCCCCTCTTCATAGTCTTTTATCAAGTCCCTGTTATGATTACTGGATGCTAAAGGGTGGAATGTTGGGGGGATTCTGTAAGTTTTTGCTTCTTCCTAATCACTTTTTTTTGAACATGTTGTTATTGATTTTGTTAAATAATCCAAATGAATTTTAATGTTTCTGCTTCCTGATGTTTTAATGCATGAACTCTTTAAACCTCTGTGATTCATGCTGGTTTCACCTCTGACCTTCATTACCTCACCTCCTCCAGCCTCTCTGGGTGACGTGTCACGCTTCGCTGTGAGTTTCAGCGACCTCGCCGAGGTGGACTCGTACCTGTCGCTGAACGTGAGCTCCGCCTGGTGCCTCACCGCCCGGGTGCTGCAGGCATTCCCGCAGCGCCCAGGTCTGAGGCGCACCGTGGTGAACATCAGCTCACTCTGCGCCATCAAGCCTTTCCCATCCTGGGCACTCTACTGCACTGGGAAGGCTGCCCGGGACATGATGTTCCAGGTGCTGGCACTGGAGGAGCCGGACGTCCGGGTGCTCAGCTATTCACCAGGTGAGGCAGGGGGCGTGGCCTGCTGAGCTGGTTCGGTTTTCCATGAAAAGACAAGAAGCTCACTGAAGGCAAAATACTTCAGATGTGAGTATGGAGGGCTGAAAGGGTCAAAATTCAAATCAAACTGAAGGATGTGAGGACACAGATTACGAATGTGGGTTTAATAAAATACTTCCATGGCTTTTAGCTGAATAGTAAAAAAAAATTTAAAAAAAATAAAATTCAGACTGTAAACAAAATAAAATGAATTCATTGTGAAAAAGGACAAAATTAAAATTTTAAAATAAGTTTTAAATGTTTTTAAATGTGTTTTTTTTTTGGGGGGGGGGGGGGGGGGGGTTTGAAAGCGGTTTAGTTTTGACCTCTCTGGCCTGCCATACCAGACCGAGCTGAAGAAATCTGTCATAATGATTCATTAGCCATGCTGAGCAGTAGCAGGCTTCATGCTGTCCATGTCATCACTTCTTGTTTTGTGACCACTCCAGGACCGCTGGATACGGCCATGCAGGTGGAGGCTCGCTCCAGGTCAGCTGACCCCAGCATCAGGAAGTTCTTTAGTGACCAGTTCGCCGAAGGCAAGCTGCTGAGCTGTGAGGCGTCCTGCGCCAAGCTGATGAAGCTGCTTCTGGAGGACAGCTACACCTCCGGTGCTCACGTCGATGTCTACGACCTGTAGACTCGGAGCAGGTAGCACAGGTGCGTCCCGCTGTTCTGGTTCACTATAACCTGAGGTCAGAAAGAGCTTCAGTAAAACAGTGAAAAGTTCAGGGAAGAAAATAAACAGGAAGAAGATAAAGCTTCTACAAAATTAAAATGTTGGGCTGAATAAACACTGTCACGTTGCCCACGTGCTGGCTGCGTGTGTGGTTTCTGAGCAAAATGTTCATGTTTTTTTAGTTGTTGTTGTTGTTGTTGTTGTTGGGGTTTTTTTTCCTTGATTTTTTTTTTTCTTTTTCTTTTAGCCCACAGTTTCCTGATGACATCGGCGCAGACCCTAACGTAAGCTCGGGTCGACCCATACACATTCCACAGACTGTATAAAAAGATGGCAACAGCATGACCTCAGCAGAGGGCGCTGATATCTCATGCTGGTTCCCTGTGATGATCTCATCACATCTTGATTCCCGTGCTGTGTTGAAGCCGTTTTCAGGTGCCTTACTTGTTAAAGAGCTTTAAGTGGATCCGTTTGGTGTTCGTGCTGCTTGGTGCATCTGACATGTAACTTCTTTTGTGATGAGTTCACTTTTGTAAACTTGATATTGGTCAAGTTAGAAATAAATCTGAGAGTAGCTGTGTGGTCAGTTTGTGTGTTGTTGTTTTTTTGTTTGTTTGTTTGTTTGTTTGTTTGTTTGTTTTCTTCCATAAATTACAAACTCTTTATTCAGACAGCATCACACAAACAGGAAGTGATCAAATCCTGAGGTTAACAGCAGAGATGCAGCCCTTGACCCCACTCACCTTCACGCTCAACTACAGCAGGTGAGTGCAGGTACTTTTAACACGACCGAGAACAGGAATGGCTGCAGCTCAGGTGTTCTCCACCTCCTCGTTGTCATTACAGGACGAAAAAGATGATGAATGAGTCGTCTTGATATGGTAGCAAAGCTGGGCTTAAGTCTGACTAGGGTTTTTAGCTAGGAGCACTTCCTGTCACCTGTTCACAGCTGTGACTACTTTGTCTTCCCAGCAGAGTTATTCCACTTTGATCACTATATTCTCTGCTCCAAACTAACCTTTGACCTCAGTGTGACTGCAAAGCATGACTGTCAGCTGACTGATGTCCTGTGTGCGACCCACACACAGTGTGTGCGTTGGTCGGGTCACACAGGACTCTCCATAAAGAAACTAATAATGGAAAATTTCATTTTAAAATAAAAATACAAAATAACAATAAATAATTTAAAAATAATGAGCCATGTGTAAGCCTGAAACGATTTATCGAGTAATACAGTTTTACCCAGAAACACTGAGAACACCACAGCGGCAGTGGTGAGGACTCTGGCACAGTTTAATGTGGAGGCAAAGTCTGTTTACACACCAAAGAGCAAAGAGGCGGAGCTCAGGCGAAGTGAAAGATAACAGCAGCTGTTCCTGTGACCACCATTAAACCCTTTAGTGAGAGACCGCTGCAGGAGCGCCCGACCAATAAACTTTGACACAGTTTGTTTCACACAAAGACAAATCTGCTCCAGAAGTTTTATTGAAATCTGGAGATGAGCTGTGAACTTAGCCTGATGCATGTTTAAATCATAGAGCCATCATATTTTAAATGGAAGCGAACAAGGGTGAGTCTAAAGGAGGGTGTGGGGTGTACTAGACCAGATTAATTTGAAGGCTTTGTAACATTTTTCAGATTAAAAGTGGAAAAATATATAATATTGTATTGTTTTGAAAAACCTAAAAAATAAAAGCTTTTTTCACAAGACAATAAAAATTAATGTGAGCTAGTAAAACTGTGAGCTACTGACCGGAAGGATTTTAGGTTAAACACTGAATTATTCATGTCTACACCATCACAACAGAAACTTGCCTCCTATTAACATAAGAAAGCCTTCCAAGAAGAGAAAAGGTACATTTTAATGGCCTAGTTAAGGTTGTGTATATATCTTATATATTTTGCATTTAAGTCGATGTTTAATTAAATTAAATTGTAATCTGAAACAGATTAAAATTAAAACAATTTTTCATAGATATTGTTTACAGTTAAACTTTAAAACATTGCCGTTTTTAAAATAGAAAAGAGCAGTTCATTCTGTTTTTTTTCTCTTAATGTTTATTATTCCTCATTAAGAAGACAAAAGTGTTCCTTGTCCAATTACTTCATTACCAAAATAATCGATAGCTGCAGATCTCCAACATCACAAAGTCTCTCTGATGCCTTCTCCGAGGGCAAACCGCTGACCAGGCTGCTCCTGAACATCTGCCCAGGTGAACATCTGGATCTCACTGACTCAGTGTGGGTTCTTCCACATGTTCACCTTCAAACCTACAAACAGACGCAGCATAAAAACCTGATTAAACGTACTCAGCTAATGACAGCTGCTCACTGGCTTCCCCTGCTGTTCTGAGTTAGACTGTAATTCTTCTCAACACGTTTACCCCGAGCAGCAACTTTAACTTTACACGCGCGCACACATACATAGATGCGTTTGTCACGTCATGGTGGGGCTTGGGGGTTTACTGATTATTGATTATTATCTGCAGCAGCAGGACACCTCAATCATCATCAACCAGGCATGACAGTTTCTCCACTGATGGCGCCGATCACCGTCTGCAGGAATCGCCAGACGACCCTCAAACAACATTTCCTCCAATGGCGGAGGAAACGTTGTTTGTCATCGGGACAGAAAACAGCTGACTATCCACCTAGCCGCAGAAACCTGAAAGTAGACGTGACATTAGGGCTGCACGATTTTGCATAAAATGAGAATCACGATTTTTTGGCTTAGAATTGAGATCACAATTCTCTCACGATTTTCTTTTCCAGTATAAATATTTATTGTATACAGTATAAATTCCAGTATAAATATTTCCAGTATAAATATTTATTGCACTTATTAACTGCACATCAACTTCGTAACAGTTGAGACTGAACATAAAAACAATAAACAAACATAAAAACAACAAATGTCTCAGGTTTTGTTGTTGCCGCAAAATGTTGTACTGCTTGAAATTCCGTCTCCACCGTTGCTCGACACTGCGTGTATAGAGCAGGTAGTGCAACAATAGAAAAACAGTTGCTGGACGGCACTGTGTAGCGTTTGTCTAGGGTGTTGATCATTTTCCTAAATCCCTCGTTTTGCACAGTGTTGATGGGAGCCATATCTTTGGTCAGGTGATAAGTGATAGCCTCCGTAATTTCTTTGTGCCTGCGGGAGTTCGACGGGTAAAGGGAAGCGCTGTATAAGGTTCCCGTTATTGATGTTTGGGTGGTTGACCGGGACGGATTTTCTCCTGTCACTTTCTCGTCATCCCTGACGTGCTCAACGTTGTTTTTTCCCTGCTAATTTTAGCATCACACGGCACAGCTTCTGTATCACGTGGTATAAGGCTCCGCCCTTGTCATTTGTTGAGCAGGAAGAGTGAGCGCTTGTTTTCATGCAGATTACGTCCCGGATCAAAATGCGGTACAATCGTCGTTGTCGTCTTTTTTTTTCTTTTTTTTTAAAATCGTTGTCATTTGGAAATGAGATCGCACATAAGTATGAATCGACATCGCGATTTTCTAACGATTAATCGTGCAGCCCTACGTGACATCATCCCACCTTCCACCCACAGAGTGACCTACAGGGATTAAAGGGTTGGGTACCCTGTGTGGACGTGAACTTCCAGAATACATGTGATGCAGACCAGGGGCGGAGCGTGGGGGTGGCTTACTGGGCTTAAGCCCGGGTTGTTTTGTCAGAAGCCCGGGGTCTTTTGGGGTGTAATTTTTTCATAGTTAGATGCCTGGCTGACAACTATATAAAACAAAAAGTACACACAATATTCGAAGCACATAGTGCACACTGTGGGAATTTACGACTGTGCGCGAATCCCCCCTGATATTGGTATGATCCGAGCTCAGGCACTAAGCGACTGAGCGAGGGGGCGGGGCAGCTGCTGCCTGTGAGTGCGCTGTTTGAGAAACGGAGCCAGCCATACTAAGGAGAGCTAAAGTTTGACCAGTTACCAAAGCAAATCATTCATACCGTACAAATAATGTAAATATGACGGTGAATCATGAAAGATTGATATCAAACTGATCACTTGACCAATATTACGTTACTTGCTCTTCAAGCGAATCAACAAATGGCGAAATGAAAAGCCGAACAAATGCTGTTTCTTTAGAGAGTCTTAGCTTACGTGTGTTTATTTCATATTTTCAGTTCTTACCCTCCCCGACTAAATCGATTTCAGTAATGCACTGAAATATAAGAATGGACATTAGAGGCTTCTTTCAAAGAAAAAACTCAGGTAAATGTTATTTTATATATTATGCTTACTATGTTGTTCAGTATATTTCTATGCAAAACAAGAGGGATTTCAGTACACAGCAGGATATTCACATTTGTAACCAGATATTTACACTTTAGGGAGAAAACATAAAACATTTTTACTGTACAACATCAATTTAGAGTAAACTTTTGTTTTAGATAAATATTGAAATGTCTTTTGAATTAGTTAAATGTCAGAATAAAGAGAGACAGAGCTGTCTATTTTTTTTATCACTTTCATCAGATTTAGGAGTACATGTACACTAAGTTTATTGTTAATTAATAAGAAAACTCCAGACGATTCCATTCTGAGCTGAAGAAGCTTCTGATAGGTTAGCAGAGTCCATGTGAGTAAACTGGTGGCACACCTGTGGATGCATATAAGGCAAAACACAGAGCCTGTTTCTGTGACATGGGAACATCAAGAGATATCAACCAAAACACCAGGAAAAGAATTGTGGAGCTCCATAAGTGTGGCTCAAGTTTGAATACAATTTGGTGCCATTTGCAATTAAGAAATACAGATAGTTTCTCTCTTTACTCTTAAAGTTAACAAATATGTTTTTTATATTTATCTAAAAAAATAAACATTTAGTCTGATTTGATGTTACAATTAAAAAAGTGTTTTGATCTGAAGAGTAAATATCTGGTTTCAACTGTATATTTGATGATTGTCAGCACAAAGAGGGAGAGAGAGGGAGAGAGAGGGAACAAGAGCAGGTGAGACACACATGTTAGTCAAATGGTCGTTTACCAAAAGTATCACCGTATCATAGGTCCTCATGTATCTGGTACCGAGTGTTTCTTTTTAGGTTTGTTATTTTTCAAATTCTATATTTATTAAGTTATGCAGGCTTGTTTGCACAACAAGGCTAAATAATTATATAAACTTTTCTCAATCTAAATAGTGGACTTTGTAGAATTAAAAAAATAAGTGTAGTGCAGGTCTATGATGATTTTTAGTGCTACTATCATCTAGTTCTGATTCTGGTTCTGTCTTGGTTAAGTCCTAAGTAGTCCTGGACCCTATTTCAGGAAGCCGGTTTAGTGCAAACTCTGAGTAAGTATACCCTGAGTTAATGAAAACTCTGGGTTTTCGGTTTCACAAAGCGAGTTTAGATTAATTCTGAGTGAGTTACTATGACGACACACTCCGTGAAGCTAACCTGCCCCCTAGCAGGTTTACTTCAACTAACCCTGACTGTCTCCGCCTCTTTGTCGGAAACCTGACTGTAGGAAGTGTCAGACATGGCGTGTCCCTTCCTTGAAGAGCCAGTAGATGTTGAAGCCCAAATTCTCTGCAGAGCTCTCCGCCGGGAGAGAGT